TAATGCTGCATCAAAGTAATTATTATGAAATAGCTATGCATACGTTTTCATTTAAGACACAGTTTTAGAGCATTCGTAAAGAGCAGTTATTTTATGCGAGGTTTAAGCTGTTCGTTCTGCATTGTGCTTTTTCTTGCTGCCAAATTACCACCGATTGCAATGCACCTTGTTATAATCACCGCCACATGCATATTACAAATGAGCATCTACGTATGCACATGTTTATATTTTTATTGAAGTTTTCTTGTTGTCTTCCCCACAGCTTCCAACAATCAAAGATTTTGTGATTATTAAGCCAATTAGCCGTGGTGCATTTGGCAAAGTATTTCTGGGTTACAAAAACAATGATCCCAATAAATTATACGCTATCAAAGTTATGCGAAAGTCCGAGATGATAAATAAAAATATGGTATCTCAAGTTATTACCGAACGCAATGCGTTAGCGTTGTCTCGTAGTCCTTTTTGCGTCAGCTTATTCTATTCATTACAATCCGTCTCCTACGTCTATTTAGTGATGGATTATATGGTAGGTGGTGATCTAAAGTCGTTGCTTACCATGTTCGGATACTTTGACGAAGCAGTGGCGCGTTTTTATGTGGCAGAAGTTGCGCTGGCGTTGCAATATTTGCACGAGCACGGTATTGTGCATCGCGATATAAAGCCGGATAATATGTTGTTGTCGGCCACTGGCCATGTAAAATTGACGGATTTTGGTTTAAGCAAAATCGACAATAGAAGAGGTAAAATGTAATATATCATTTATGTTAATTTATGAATAATTTCCTTTATTTCACAATCCTCAGACTTGGAAATATCGGATTTAATAAATATTTCGCCTACCTTAAATGCACGTACTCCGGGTCAATTGCTTTCTTTGACCTCGCATTTATCATTTGGTTCAGAGAAGAAAATAGAATGTGGCACTGGAACTTCAAATTTAATGAATGCCATGAATAAACGAAGTATGTAAATTCAAATCGTATGTAATTTATATAATTAATAAAACTATTTTGATTAGATGTGAAAACTGAATCATCAGATAGTGAGGCGGATACGTCTTTAAATGAAGCCGAGCGAACGAGCGATAGCAAAATATCTGGAGTCTCTCCTTTTTTTTCAGTAGAAGAGATTAATGTTTCGATTACGCACACGTGCACAACTAATGTAATATTTCCCTTAACCATAAAATTTTTGCCGTTATTCTAATTTTTTTTCCATTTTGGATATCGAAGACCCAACTGACCGACAGTACATCTTCCTACCACACATGTACATCAACAGAAATAAGTAAAAATGAAGTTAGCACTACCTCAAACCCAGTTACGAACACTCGGCATGTTGCCTTCGTTGATATTAGCATCGAAATTAAAGCCGCCGCAGCTGAAGCTAGAGCGAATTGCAATGTAAGTATTGTATTATAAACTTAATACAAAAACTTTGTTATTGAAAATTTCTCTAAACTTTTTACCACAAAAGGGCTGCAAGCAAGAAGAATATACTAGATTAAAAGATTGTATTAAAGAGAATAAAATTAGTATTAAATTGGAGCGGAATGAACCAGAAGAGGCTTCATTTGAGTTTAGTATGGTTCGAAAACGTTCGATGGATGAGGTGTGTAAGCGTATTTTTTTATTGGTAGTATGTGTGGTGTTTTAAGCTATGGATAAATGGGGTTGGGTTCATGATGAAGAGGATCGTTTTCAAATTGCAACGAATTTATAAAATTTTGCATGTTATGTGCCTTGTCAAAATGTGTGAAAATGTTGAAAAGACAATATCGGGAATTTTATGTTAACACAATCTCTTACTTATCTTCACGGTGCATCTTCTTTTAACTGTTGCATGTCATTTCCTATAATTACTGTCCAAACGTTTCTTTTAATATTTCTACTTTTGATTACTTTTGGTAAATGCTGCCTAATTCCTTTCCTCTATATGTGGAATGAAAAAATGTAATCATTTACTGCTTAACTTTATAGCGTTTGCGTATGTCAAAAGGCCCAGAAGACTCGGGCGTGTCGAGCCGAAAAAGCGACAATTCTACTTCGCAAATCAATACAACAACAAGTTCGCTAGACAAGGCTGAGAATATGTGCATTTCTAAAAACGATACAAGCTGCTCGGATTATTCGCGCAGGTATGACATTCTACGGGTTTCATGATAACTAATATCACATGGTAAAATGCTTCCGATGTTACTTTTTAGCTACACCCCGAACATAACAAGCGAGACCAGCAGCATGCGTTCACCATTTCGTAACCTATCGAAAAACTTCAAAAGACCTGAATTCTTGCGGTTTTTATCAAGAAAATTTAAAATTTTCCGCATTTTAATTTTTTTTTTTACTAATCTTTAGGGGTATGAAACGCAAACTCAATCTGCTTAATCGGTCGGAGAACTCATCCAATCCGGAAGCTGACAGTTCGAAATCGGGTTATAACTCCAACTCCGGCAGCACCGGGCTAACACAAGAAATCGATATTCTTGACATTGGCAGTAGCACACCGAAAAAGCGTAAAGCAGCTAACGGCGTATTAAAAGTGCGTTCACTTTCAGACGATGAAATGCCACAGGCTCTCAATGAGCATGTCACAAACGTTGTCTTCTCCACACCTGTGTCATCTCAAAAGGTGCCACGCCGTGATGGTGGCTTGATGGGAAAACTGAAAGCAACACGATTTGCACTGCCATCATCGATGGATACGAAAAAATCGGAGCAGGCAGCTGAAAAAGCATCTGGCGTGCAATATTTGAAAATGGCAGCTGATGATCCTACCATGTCACCTATTAATTTGGGCAATAATATACCGAAAACTCCGATACGTATTAATACACCTTTTCGCACACCAAAATCGGTGCGACGTGGCGGTGTTGGTCGGCAATCGAGTGAACGTATACTCGGCACACCCGATTATTTAGCACCAGAATTATTGCTGCGACAAGGGCATGGACCAGCTGTAGATTGGTGGGCCCTGGGCGTTTGTTTTTATGAATTTTTGACCGGCGTACCGCCCTTCAACGATGAAACACCACATAAAGTTTTCGACAACATTCTAAATAAAAGTATAAAAATAAATGGTAATAATTTATTTTTTGCATTTACATTATTTAAATTTTTTAGATATTGAATGGCCACAAGGTGATGAAGCACTTTCAGCCGAAGCTGTCGAAGCAGTGGACTTGTTGCTTACAATTGATCCCACTGAGCGTCCTGCAGCAAAAGATGTTCAGCGAATGCGTTTCTTTGAATCAATAAACTGGAAGAACATCGAAAACGAAGAGCCGCCATTTGTGCCGACGCCGGAAAATCCTACCGACACAGCATACTTTGAGGCGCGTAACAATTTACAACATCTAAAGTTATCCAATTTTACGCTAGAAGACTAAAAGATAAAATTAAAGAACATCAAAGACTGCAGATTTTCATCTGGGTTAGAGTTAAGATGAAACTATGTTACGCGCATTAACCAAATTGTTTGTGCTAGCAACACTTTCGAAGTAAACTAGATGTATCGTTTTAAATGAATTTGAGTAGTAAATTTAGTATATACAGACCATTTGCAAGTAATTAACGCAGTGGAAAATAGTGATTATCTATGCACCACACACGTATGCGTATCTCAATTAAACTAATAACATATTATATTGTTCTATTATATTTTTTAAACACTACAATATTCTCGTTTATGTGCTTATTCACTTATCGGTTTGTCCTATTGTTTTGTATATTCTTTGTGCATTTTTTAATCAGTCTGTTTTACACTACATACATATCTATGTCCCCATGTAAAAAAGTCAACAAAATCAAATAAATTGATAATTAATTGATCATAAGAGAAAGGTTCATTTCTTATACTTGAAAAAGACAAGGATTCAAACTTTGAAACTAATTAAAAAAATTAAATAAAATATTTCCAAAGTCAACAATAAAATACTTTTGTCGCAAAATCTATAAAGGATCCTCAAATATGTGTATGTTACAAAAACCAAACTTTACAGAAGAGCGTTTTTTGTATTATTCTTTGCTTTGGCTAGCACCATCAAGATCAAAGTTTAGTTTTGCTGAGACGATTGAGAAATATAGCTAAACGCAAGATGTTTTTTTGTAGAAAGGCCTCTACATTATAATTACCTATCACATACATATGGGCAAGGCCACCGGCAGTAACGTCACGCTCGTATACATATTTTGGTCAATATCTTTACAAAATACAATTATTTCTCCCAACTTGAGAGCGGCATATGAAAGTTCCCGTCATAACTGTTGTTTCATACGCAGACAATTTTGCTGTATCGTTTTGTTGTGAAGTTATGACCATTTTAATCCGTCAGTAACGTCACCGGATTTTGGAAGTGTGTTTTGAGGTTAATGAACGTTTGTGCAAAAATTAGCGAATTGAAAAGAGTTCATGTTTATTATTGCCCAGTATTTTAAAAAAGGAAGGACGAAAGATGCTTTTTATCCAAAAGGTGGGCTTAATATTTTATGTTTTAATCACGTAAATGACATAAAAGCAGTGTCATTAACGTGACGCAAAATGTCAGTAACGTCACACTTACGAATTTCGTTAGGATTTTCGGGTCTTTTTTTTTTTCTTGGGTTAATAGAGGGACCCTAAACGGCCAAAAAATCATCGTAGAGGAGTTTTAAGATGCAACCTCATAAAAAAAATTGTAGTAAATCGGGCATGCCCTTTAGAGCTGATTTTTGTATGATAGAGTGTTAGTTAATTAAATTATCTCTTCAATGATTTTGTATAGCTTGAGGGTTGAAATTGGTTTTTGACCAGTTTTGCATCATTAAAATGAAAATTTGTAATTTTTCCCTACTTTTCAGTTTTAGCGGCTATTTAGTACGAAAAATGTCGAATTGACATCTGTTTTTTTTTTTCGAAATATTTGTGAAATTTCTTCCTAAATGGTGATAAAAATTTTGTGTCAGTATTTTGAACTAAAGCCAGGACACTCTGTAAAATAAAAACACATTATTATCGGAAAATAAAAAAGTCTTTATTAATTTCAGTCATGTTAGTTGTTGCAAAATTAAGGCATCACTTCAGTTGTAGTTTTTTTTTTTTAAACATAAATAAACATAAAATATCACAAAAAAAAAGAAATTTTAATTGTATCCTTGCCGAGAAGTAGTATAAGTTACTATTTCGTCCCCAATGGTACGGATTTGGTTCGAAGACGAAATGTTTTTTTGGGTGTCTTTAACTGATTGTTTTAATTTCCGTCGATATTTTTTGCTTCTTTCGCGGCCAGCAGCACGGCGCATAGAAATCGCCTTTCCCAATTCACTTATTGGCATTAGTTTTTCCTCCTCTTTTCTGTTAGCCCTCAATTTTTTCATTGCTTCGGCCTTTTTCTTTTTGTACTCGTCGTATTTGTTGCTTTCTTTTAGTTTTTCAACATAACGCTTGTCTCTTTGTGCACCAGGAATCGGAGTCTAGCAATTAAATACCCAATTATTAAGCAAAAAAGTAAAAATAAAATAAAAACCTTCAGTAACGTAACGCAATCTTTTTTTGCAAAAATACCCTGCTATATGCAAATAATGCTTCATTTAAGCATTGATTATAAAAGTACTTCAAAAATACTCAAAAAAAATCAGCTCATCCAACCTCTTTTCTAATTAGTTAATGCATAGAAACACATTTTACAAAAATTTGTCAGTGACGTCACCATTGATTTGCGGCTGATTCCTTTAAGCCCTAATTGGTCCAAAAGCCAAGCTTTGTACACAAATTTGCTTGCAAATCAAAAGTTTGATTTATATTCTATCCAAAAAAAGTCATCATCTGCCTAAAGTACAAAAAAATAACAACAAAATTTACCTTTTTCGCCGACATTGGTATATTTTCCAACTACGCCTTGCAGGTGCCACTTATGAAAAGAATGTAAAATGTCAAAGCAGACACAAATTTTGCACTGGCATACAGTGCTGCCATATTCTATACATATTCGACATTTGAAATGTAAACAAAATTTTGGGCTTTGTGACAGAAAAAAAAAATCTATGTGGTAGTATCTCCTGTCATCACACAAACAGTCAGAGCATACGCGTCTTGGCTCCCACGTCACTGTTGACAGTTACAAGTTTGAAAAAGTAGAGGACTTAATTTATTTGGGAACCAGCATTAACACCAATAATAATGGCAGCCTTGAAATCCAACGGAGAATGAATGACTTTGGGCTCCGTTTATATGGAAGTCGTTTATGACTTTTTCATACAACTCCTAAGCGACATATAGCTGACAATGTCACTGGTGACAATGTCATGCAGGTGTACTCCTAGCAAAGACTTATAACAGACAATGTCTTGCAGCGGTCACTTATAAAAAGTCCATTGCAAGATATGTCGCTTGAATTTCTCTAATGATCACTGCATGACCAAGTCATGCAGATGACATCAACGACGAAATTACCATTTATATGAAAAAGTCATGAACAACTTTCATACAAACGGAGCCCAAAGTCATTTAAGACGTAACTTTTCCGTACAAGACTCTTAAGTGACTAATGCATGACATTCGCTACGCGTATGTGTTCCTTTTATTTTGGACGTGTTTATTTATATATGTATCTGTACTGTAGTGTTTTTGGACGGTACTAGCTCTTACTGCCAATATAGGAGTATTACATATATGAGAGACATGTACTTCTTTCTCCGTGTTAGAATCTAGGAACCCTACTTTCGGCACAGAAATGTTTTCGTACAAAATTATGCAAAAAAGCTGTCAATTTCTTAATCGCTCGTTTTAGGCATGCCAATCTTACGAATTTAGAAAGTTCGACGATTCGTATCGCAGCATACCATTTCTACGATTCGTAGCAAAATCCGAATACGAAAGTATTGCAGAATAGGGGTGTTATAGTTTTTCTTTCATTGAGGTTGTTCACACTTGCTTCGTTATTAGGTTATCTGGTTAAAAATTATTAAATATTGTGTAGTGTATTTTATTGTTGTAAGGTGAATAAAAAATATAACCACATAACCACATAACCTAACCAGGCAAGTGTGAACAACCTCATTATGTTTTCTTGCAGTACATGTAATCTATTTGGCTTACCTTGTTGCCTATACATATATGTACATATGTATGTATGTATGTATGTCAGAACATAAATTGAATAAGGTCACACAAAATTGCAATTGTCCTTTGATTTCTTGTTTTCTTTCCTCACAATCGAACTGAATTTGAGCTACATTTGGAAAATAAAACAATTGTTTTTCGATTATGTACTCCTTTAGTTTCTCATTGATTTTGATCAACATGAAATTTATGAGATTTAAAATTTAAATCTTTGCTGACTTTTATCGTGTTAGAAATTGCTTTTGGCTTTTGATTCGATTGACTTTCGCAAAGGTGATCCACAAATTCATCCATGTCCCACTGGCATAATGTGAAATGCTTTACCTTTTTTACAACAAATTTATTGACGATTGCTATTGGAGGAAAAGATGCATTCCAATGTAACCGAATCATAATTTAAGCATGTCCTTTTCCATGTCAACAGGTGATGTGGCCGAATGGACACTGTTCCGTTACATAAACAAATGTGTTAAAAATATTTGATATCAATAGGATAACGAGTAGCGCCTCTAAAATTAAAATTAAAAAAAAAATTGGCATTTAAACTTTTATTAAGTGTTTGGTCAAGCTTCTCTAAATGGAGAGACAAACAATTTTACGCTGCATACGAACGGCAAATTCAGACATCGCGGCATAGACAGTGCTGTCGATAGCAGCTTTAAAGTCGACAAATAGATGATGAGTGACGATTATTTTCTCGCTGGTCTTCCAATATTTGACGTAAGGTGAATACCTGGTTCATGGTGGATTTACCAGGTCTAAAACCACACTGATAATGCCCAATCAGTTCGTTGACGGTGGGCTTCAGCCTTTTACACAATACGTTCGATAAGACCATGTCACCTATGCTTAGGAGGCTGATCGCGCGGTAGTTGGCGCGAATGGCGGGGTCGCCTTCCTTGTGGATTTGGCAGAGCACACTTAAATTCAATCGTCAGGTATGCGTGCATCTGACCATATTATGGGTAAGAGTTGATGTATGCACCTTATCAGCTCTGCTCCATCTACCGGATAGTCTCCGATATTTAGATTCGCGCTAAACCTCAGTTTTCGCATAACGTTTTTTAAATAGAGTTCCAGGACAGCCTATCGCCCTGGCTGCTAACAAATCTCTTAAATCTAACGTAACAGCGTCTAAAGTAGCCATAGAATGCAGGAAGACCTGTTGGCGTCAAAATGCTCCTTAACTGTTGTATGGGTCCCTGGGCACAGAGACATTCCTGGCAACTGTTTATCCGACGAGTTGGCAAGAAGCTACTGCGTGGTGGGCACATACGGAAAAAGGTTAGGATACCCAACAATGAAGAGGAGAGGGAGAACATCGACCATTATCTTTTCCATTCTCCATTTTTGGTAATTTTCTTAGCTAAAAAAATGTTGAATTGGTTGAATGTTGAAATGTTGAATAATTTGTATCGAAAAAATACCTAGCTCCGTAACAAGAAAAAAATTGCCAAAAATCAACGGCGCCATCTCAAACTTGCACATTATTAAAATTTAATGGGCTATAAAATTGCATTAACATTTTTTTTTGTAAAAGTTCTGATTAGTTTGAAATTCGGACTTACAATTTATTCGTTCGGACTTACATGGTTTTTGTTAGATAACGAGCTATAGTTTCAGAAACAAATAAAAAATCTGCTTACGTAATATTCAAATATTTGTAAACATAAGGAGCTGTGCCGTGGATTATATTCGCCAGGGGACAAGGCATTGAAATCAGTACCAGCTCTGGGCTGCGCACAGCGCAATGCAGCGAACCAATTACATTTTATTGTAACAATAACTAGCAAAAAAAAAGCATACAAACAGTACACCAACACTATCTACTAATATCAGACGCTTACTCAAGCAGCCATTGTGGCACTAGTCCAGTTGGCCAATTGTCCAAATAAATGCTATTCTAATGTCTTTTTTGCCACATAAATGGCCGTTGAGTAAGTACACTTGTGTGCGACAAGTGGTTTACAGGAAACAGGGGGTTTGTTTCATTTCTTCTAAACTAGGCATTGTCGTCCACGGTATGCGGCCTTCTAACTGTTTTCATCCGTTTATCGTTGGGATCTTTGTGCATTCTCTCATTCGTATTTTTCTTGGCACTCGAAATTGGTCTCCGATGCAAAATTTGGATATTTTCTTTTTGGTAATTTGCGAGGTCGTTCACCTAATGCATAGGCATACAAACATAATATGTATGTATGTATGTATGTATTTATATGCAGTTAGTATGTAATCATATGAGCATATGTATTTGCACGAATCCTTAATTTTTATTTCCACTGCATTCAAGCGCCACAGTTGGCTTAGTAAACAATTAAATCAAAGGGAATTTAAATACATGCAACACATATGGCATCTACATAAGTGTGCCTGAGTGGCAACTGGGCATTATCGTTTCTCCAACATAAGCAGCTATTAAATTTTACAACAGAAATCATTGGTTACGCGACATTGGCTTGGGTTAATATTTTTCGATTCGAAGTGGCAAAGGCTACTCATATGATATCAGGTGGTTGAAAGTTTCCAAATTTAATACATCCAGCCTGAGAAGGAGTTCATATGAAGCACTTACTTTTTTTCTTAATTGCAAAGTCAGCGAAACGAGGGGCGTTTCTAAATAAAAGCTTATACGTAGAGCTTTTTCCCGATAAGATTCTCTCTTTTGAAGCTCTATCAGAAGATCTTCAAATAGCACTGTGATTCGAAGGCAGACAAAGCATAAAATCGCATTTAACGTGTCGTGAACTCATGTTAATAATATGAGAAAAAGGGTCTACGACCCCATTAAGCTGGCATTTATGGGTACTGTTTTTTTATATATATAATAGGGAAAACTTTAAACTTAGGGGGGCGGCTTGAGCACCCCCTGCCACTACCTGGCTACACCCATGACTATGTGAGCGACTATTGCGCAATATTGAGAGAAGAGGAGGTCGAAAATACTTCTTCAAAAGCAGGAAGCAGATTTGGTAATAGATGTACAGAGTAAAATTGACATATAGAGAATAAACTTCTTAATGCTTTTGAAGGGTGTCACCGGTGGCGCGTTTGTAACTCTCGGTATTTTTGGATTCTGAAAAAAGAATCCTCGATCCCGGGATCGTCTTGAAATTTAGGCAGTTTTGATTTCCTATTTGTTTGCCAACAACTGTAGCCGATCTTTAATCATCCTATTATATCTATATACATAGTACCCGGCATCACTTTATCATGCTCGGTTTCACTTTATCATGCATGGTTTGCCCAATCAGTTTTAAATTAAGCAGCTTGTTCAAATTTAAAATGACAAATTTTCCGAACAAAATTGTTTAATTTTAAATTTTAACAGGCTACTAAATTTAAAATTTATTGGTGCAACCGGGCATCAGACTGTTAAAGTATAAAATTCCCTTTTTTATTAATGATGTTTATGTAAAAATATCTGATCTGTCGATTGAGATGACTTAAAACAATGTTAAAAATAACCTTCATTGAGAAAATTACAAATATATTTTCGTTTTGAGTTTTCACTATAAAAATGGGAAAATGTTGGAAAACGCATAGCTCCATAGGATAGCCCGTACAAAACTCTATAGAAATAATAGTTTTCGAATTATTTAAGGAGCTTGTTTTGGATTGCTCTGCGCGTCTGGGGCATTTGAAGTTAATCGCCCCATAAAAGATATTCCCAATGTTAGTCTCAGTTATAAGTCAGGTGGGACCCCTTTTAAAACGTATTGTCAAACTTAAATCTTCTTAAAGCTCGTTCGTGTGCCATTGGGATACATTTGAATTTCAATTA